GGAATCGATAAGGGAATCGTTTGCAAAAATGGCAAACAATTCCAAGGAATTGAAACAGTGGGAACCGGTTCTCAACAAGAACCGGTTTTCGATACCCATCCCTACCTGGATATTATAAATGTTATTTGTGTTAATAACTGCATATTATTAATCTGGAGCTGGCATAGCTTTATTAGATCCTTCTTGCATTAAAGGTTGATAAAGTTTTACTTTTTCATGACACACTTTATTTTGTACCAGGAATATGTATTTAAATTCAACCTTAGAACACTAATGTTGGGTGATTTTAACTCACACAATGAATAAATATCATTTAGTGGTAATGTCCAATAGAATTTTTATGGTAAAAAAAAATAAAAAATTAATATTAAGCAGATCATTTTCTCCTCTCAGAATAAGTGCTTTTGTGTTTCTCTCACTCACTGTTTTCTGTAATGCAGGGAGACTGTGCCTTCACCAGACAAGGCTCGCATGTCTCAAGCTCCCAGTTCCATTATTTCTATTTTTTTTAATTCATTTTCTTTTAATGATTCCTAAATTTTTGACTAATTCTAGAGCCGTTTTATTTCATTAGATCATAGGGGAAATAAAAGAAGAGTACTTCAATTTGTTATGTATTGTTGTACTTTAATATATTTTGATGGAAAGTATGTTTTATACTCAAATATAATGTTACAAAACTGCACATTAGTGTTCTAGAGTTAAATGGGATAATTTTAACTGAAGCCACATCTTTGTCATGTTCCTACAGATTTATCGGTGTGACTGATGTTGGTCCTGCCAAACTAAGTGAAGCAGAGTAGACTTATTCTCGTATGTGCAAAAACCAAATTGCAGGGAGGAAAAATTCATAAACTCCAAGACGATAGTCTTTATGCTAAGCTAAACGATCCAGCTGCGAGCTCTAAATTCATATATAGGTCCTGGAGGAAGTCTTCTTATCTAATACAAGGAATTCAACAGGTGTATTTTGCAGAATATAGAAAAAGCACGTCTTTCAAAGGAAAGTATTTTTTTCATAAGCACATACATGTGGTTGTTGATCTCTGTCGGCTGGTCTTTTGTGCCAAAGACAGACTTTTCTTCAGTAATTTAATTTTCCTCTCACCTCTGGGTGTAGAATAAGTAAAACCCACAGTTTGACTTGTTACTATAGTAACACAAACAGTATAAAGAACCATTGAAAGAATTGGTTTAACACCATAAAATGTAATAAAAAATATACCAGTAAAGCACACGCTGTTATCTTGGCTGTCAAGTTCATTTGAATCGTCCTTTTACCAGCCTGATCTTTATAACATACAGAGAACTCAAAGTGTTGTGACGAAGGAGGAATGAGCCATGTCTAGTGGCTGAAAGTCATAATGAAGTGATAAGAATCTAATAATCCTTTGTGTTTTCCAAGAAATGGCCATTTTTTAAATGGGGTTCTGAATGAGAATAGCCATAATCAGTCAAAGCCAGGCTCTTCTATTTTTCTTAATAAATCATTATTCCCTGATTATTGTAGCAGATAGTATCTACCCCTCCAGAGGAAGGCACTATGAGTGGTTTGAACATCCTTGGATTTTCATCATCTGGATCTGACTAATGACCGGATAAAAGCATTCCCTACAACACAAGCCATCCTCCTGACTGAGGAGTCTGGGACACATTTTCTTCTTCGTCTTCAAGTCGTCGTTAGTGCACTGTCCATCCTGACATCCCTCTGTGTACAGCATATGAAGAGAGTCACTATTGTGATGTATTCTCATACCTGAAGCCACTGAGGCTGAAATCTCTGCCAGGCACAGGGCTGCACACA